AGTGCTTCTCAAACCTCCGAGACTCTTGAGAATCAAGCACAAAATCACGGAGGCACATATGGGCCCATTGGCATAGGTGACTAAGGGTCATGCAGGATCCTGAGACGATTCTTACACAATTGTGACATGATGCAGATGAATACATGTCCCAGATAAGAATGCTGAGAAAGTGGGTACAACTACCCATAGGAAGGACGGAACCGACGGATCCGAAGGAATACGGAACCGAACCCGGGGAGGGGCCGACACCAAAACTTAACTCGTACGCAAAGGGGGGAAAAGGAAAACCCCCACTCCTTATAGCAGAAAGCCCCGCTCAGAGGGCTGGAAAACCCAGGCGGGGTTCAACAGGGCCCAAGGCCCCCAAGTCAGCTCCTCCCCAACCCCGGAACCTCCACATTAGGCCCCGGAGGAGAGTCATCCTCCAAAGTCCCGACCTCACAAGAAAAAGCAGGGGCAGCCAGAAAAGCATGAAAAGAAGAGGCCTACTGGTCAGACCCTGGCATTATGGCTGGAGGAAAAGACTCAAATGCCTCCCTCGCCACCCGGGATGGGGCAACTCCCGAAACTACCCCGAGTCTCAGAAACCTTGATACCCTACCCCAACCCCGAAACCCTCAGATGCCTCAGAGCCAGAAGCAAGGGGGGAGGGGGAAGAACGAGGGGGGTACAGAAGGTGCCAAGGCTGAAACAACAAACACCCCCAGGTCCGGGACCCTATAAGCAAAGCGGGCCAGCCTCAGGGCATCCGGGGAAGGAACCAACCTAGCACGTTGCAGCAACTTATACCTAGCATGCAACGCATGTGCCATCTGCATCTGAATAATATCATCAGAGGATTGGGTGAATCGAGTCACAAATATGCAACATGCTAGCAGGACTCTGGGTCGAAGGTGTCACTGACCCAACAGGCACCACGACGGAGGCAAAACAATGAGCGTCACCCTGAGACAAGGAAACAGAGCAATCCTTAAACTTGCACAAGGCGAGTTACAATATAACAAGGGCAAGGGACACAAAGGCAGACCCCCCCGCCAGGCAAAAACAAAACGAAAAGAAAAACCCCCGCAAGAGGACAACGTACCCAGGAGGAACAGACGGCCGCTGTAATAGGTGAAAACTAGCTGCGCAGTACCCCGCGCCCCAACCAGTGCAAAAATTACCACTTACCTCAAGGTAAACTAAGGAGGGAACTCCCCAACACACTCGGAGCAGTCAATCACCAAGCAGCAAAAGACCAACAGAGGTAGACTCCAAGGTGACTTGTGGAAAATAACCCCAGGCCCCAAGGGCAGTACTTACAGGGCACTCAGGGAAGGGAACCCTAAGCACATGCAGCCCGAGTACCTTTGAATATTACTCCCAGTTTGCATGCCACCGTAAGAGCAGTACTGGACGCAAGGCCCAGGACAACACCGAGAGAATCTGGAGCTAGAGCCACACGACCGAGCCACAATCACATCAGCCGAGAACTGGAGGGTGGATCGCCGGCATGGTGGGTCTGGGGGCTCCCCCTTCTGCCTCCCAGGAAGTGGGGGGGGGGGAAGAGGGAAGCCACGGACATGAATGTACTCACCAAGTTGTACTCACCAAGTTGTACTCACCAAGTTGTACTCACCAAGTTGTACTCACCTAGTTGTGCTTGCAGGGGTTGAGCTCTGGCTCTTTGGTCCCGCCTCTCAACCGTCAATCAACAGGTGTACAGGTTCCTGAGCCTATTGGGCTCTATCATATCTACACTTGAAACTGTGTATGGAGTCAGCCTCCACCACATCACTTCCTAATGCATTCCATTTGTCAACCACTCTGACACTAAAAAAGTTCTTTCTAATATCTCTGTGGCTCATTTGGGCACTCGGTTTCCACTTGTGTCCCCTAGTGCATGTGCCCCTTGTGTTAAATAAATAGCCTGTCTTTATCTACCCTGTCGATTCCCTTGAGAATCTTGAATGTGGTGATCATGTCCCCCCCTAACTCTTCTGTTTTCCAGCAAAGTGAGGTTTAATTCCCGTAGTCTCTCCTCGTAGCTCATACCTCTCAGCTCAGGTACTAGTTTTATGGCAAACCTTTGAACCTTTTCCAGTTTAGTCTTATGCTTGACTAGATATGAACTCCATGCTGGAGCCGCATACTCCAGGATTGGTCTGACATATGTGGTATATAATGTTCTGAAAGATTCCTTACACAAGTTTCTAAAGGCCGTTCTTATGTTAGCCAACCTGGCATGTGCTGCTGATGTTATCCTCTTGATATGAGCTTCAGGGGACAGGTCTGGCATAATATCAACCCTCAGGTCTTTCTCTCTCTCTTGACTCTTGAAGTATTTAATCTCCCAAATGATACCTTGTATCTGGTCTCCTTCCTACCCCTATCTTCATTACATTACATTTGCTTGGGTTAAACTCTAACAACCATTTGTTCAACCATTCCTGCAGCTTGTCCAGGTCTTCTTGAAGCCTCAAGCTGTCTTAATCCGTCCCATAATTTTGGCGTCATCAGGAAACATTGAGAGGAATGAGTCGTATATCAGAAACGTATATTACGTATATCAGAAACAGGATAGATTCGAGTACAGAGCCCTGTGGGACTCCACTGGTGACTTCACGCCAATCTGAGGTCTTCACCCACAGGGAATTCATCAAGTCGTGCAGCATCCGTCAGCAATGAATGCTTTCCATACCATGCGGCACCTGCTGATGCTGAATTCCCATCAGCAAGTTGTGCAGCATCCGCCAGCAACAAATACCCCTACAACCCATGCTGCATTTACCGATGCTGAATTCCCATCAAGTTGTGCAGCATCTGCTAACGATATAAAACATGATTTACATGCATATAAATTAGTGTAAAAAGTATTGATAGAGTTCAGTATTGTAAGTGTTAATGAATAATTAAGCCTTGATAAAAAGATATACTGTACATAGTGCAAATACAGAAATGCGAATTAGTAGTAGGCCTAGCTATTATGTGAAGTGAATGCTTGAAAATACATGTACATACTGTATGATACTGAACAATACAAAATAAGCGCCACAGAGAATGATGTAATCTTCACAGCTTCGTAATCTTCAGCTTCATAACAAACTTAAGTCAGATTATCAATTTTATTACAGTACTGTATTACAACATATTAATTGTTTTTTGACAATAGCTACATATTAGTCTCTGCAAATGTATATTCTAGCACTAGCAGAGAAAAGGTGAACTCACACGATTTGGTCTTGGCTAGCTCTGGGTTAGTGACAAGGCTTGATCGCCATTGTATGGCCTGGCCGCCACAGCCTGTGTCCTAACATTAAAAATACATTACCTGTACTGTACAGGGTAAAACAAAACATCTCTAAAATTTTATTGAGAAAACATTAAAAATCATTGATTGATAGAAACGAAATATATTGCAATACAAAGGAATGAACCAATTTTTTCCACCCATCTGGACATTGGTCAGACCGTGTTCACGCATCATCCATGCAGCAGCCAATAGCTGACTTAATCATTGGCACGGCACTAACGTGGAACGCAATTACACAATGAACTTTATTTCAAGTTAATATAAATAAAATATATCTTACCTGAATGTTACTTGAAACTTCAACAACTTTGGAAATAGCGGAGACCTGAATTTAATGACCTGGGTACAGCCCCATATAGGTTGTTAACTCGGATGGATACTGAATATACAAATGGTGATACTTTCTTAGCACACATGTGTCCGAGGAGAAGGAGGAGGAGAAGAAGACGAAGAAGGAGAAGACGACGGAGAGGAGGAGGACGGAGAGGAGGAGGAAGGAGGAGGAGGAGGAGGAGGAGGAAGGAGGAGGAGGAGGAGGAGGAGGAGGAGGAGGAGGGAGGAGGAGGAGGAGGGAGAGGAGGACGACGACGACGACGACGACGACGACGACGACGACGACGACGACGACGACGACGACGACGACGACGACGACGACGACGACGACGACGACGACGACGACGACGACGACGACGACGACGACGACGACGACGACGACGACGACGACGACGACGACGACGACGACGACGACGACGACGACGACGACGACGACGACGACGACGACGACGACGACGACGACGACGACGACGACGACGACGACGACGACGACGACGACGACGACGACGACGACGACGACGACGACGACGACGACGAATTTTATTTAGGAACAGTACATACATAGTTGCAGTGTTACAGTACAAACATTGTTAGATTTAAAGATAGAGGTAGTACATACAATACCTAAAGCTACTAGTACGCATAGCGTTTCGGGCAAGGAGAGGTGGGGGAAAAAAACATTTACTGAACAGGATGGGAAAGATGTACAATTAATAGTCAATAATTTTTAGAACTACTGCCTTGTACTATGTATGTACACAGAAAACTTCAATCTGTATCACCTATGCCATGTCACATACTGATTATCATTGGATTAGCATAAATTTAACCTTGGTGATGTTGCATTTCTTTGAATCATGTTTCAGAAATGCCAGTTTTCTTACTGAAAGTAAAGATGAGCAGAGTACAGTAAATGATATGCAACAAATAACAACTAGGGCATCCATTAAAAAACTTGCAATCAATCTTAAATTCTAGTTAGCGTTTACATGCTTTTATCCGACTGTTCATCTTACCGTTGTTGATTATTTCCAGAATTTGAGTCTTGTATTTTAATGCGAGAAGACAAATTTTGCTGTTTCTTTAATGCAGCAGTCCTTGTAACTGACAAAATATGACAATAATCAACACTGCTAATTAAGTACAAATACTCAAATTCCCAGTCATTTTTAAATTCCATGATAAATTCATTTGTTTTGCAGCATGATGCTTAAAAATTTAGTCCTAACTATGTTAGCTGTAAAAAACTGCAATGTCAATGGATGTTATTTGAAGTAAATGTCTCAAAAGTACCTGCAGGTACACTATGACCAACTTTTCTGTGAATAAAGCATTGTTCTTCCCGAAGAGATACAGCAAAGTTTAAAATGCATACCTGTAGCAGTTGTATAGGGCACTTTCTGCAGCAGTCTGGTATTTGATATTGTAGCGAGGACCAACAGTATGGATGACATAGCGAGCAGATAATTTGTAGCCATCAGTTACACATACCTCACCTGTCCTGCAGTCTGGTGAGGAATTAATAAACACTATACATTCCCTGGCAGATCTGGGTTTGTTACATTCTCACACATTATGCACAATAATAAAAAGCAAGGGGCCAATAGTAGGTTTCGTATTTACAAACACGTACCCCTAAAGATGCATCTAAATTTAGGTAATGAGCACAGACACTGCAACTACTGCAAGTAGACATCGCCGAGTACAGTAAGGACATTACATAGCATTATATTAAAACAAGCAAACATGTCATCTAAAGAGTTGAAACTGTTTACTGACTACAGCATAATCTACAAAGGAGAAATGTGCCCCCTGATGACTTCACCATACTCCAGTAATTTGCATAAGCTTCATTCTTTGACTACTGAATGACAGTTGGACTTTACTGTGGCTATCATGATAGTCATGTCGATGCTGACTACCATTTACCATTATAGTGAAAGAGGCCATCCAACATCAACCTTGATCGCTTAGGTGTCACCAACAGTCACAAACTCTGGATGAACAAAACCCATGAATATATTTGCATCATCTAAGACCTTGTCAAAATAATCACACATGCAGCACCATCAAAGGTGAAAAAAAAAGTAGGATGTAAAGCTATTGTACAACCATTTATGGTGTACAATCTACAGTATAGACTTCCTGTACTTTAATTAGCATCAAAAACTACAGCGAGTCCTCAAGTCAGTTTGTTAGTTTATCATGGTATTATAGGTGTACATCCAGTATCACTGAGATAATCTAGGTACTGTACCTTCATTGGCCAACAATGACTTCATGAAGGTATTTTTTGTGATGCAAGGAATCACAATTCCCCTTTTTCTTGCCAAATTTGTCATTTCTTTAGGTGGGTTTAACAAAAATTGTCCCCCCAAGCAAATAGCTTGGGTGTATTTAATAACAAAATTGTTGCCATTACTATGTTTCCTAATAGATGGCTCAGTAGCACATTAAATACAGTGGGATGATTCAATCCCCTACCCATTAAGGACACTTTGTAGCACAACGAAGCACAACTCTTGAGAACTTCTCTCGTTCTTCTATACTTAAAAGTGATGTCTCCAGTAATCAGAAATCCACTCAGTTCCTGAAAATTTTATTTCAGATTATTGGAGTCTCACAAAGATAGATGCCACCAAACAACCATTGAAAAATTGCATTTATTAACGATTATGCTATGATCTAGAAATAATAATTGGTGAATACCAAGGAACTTCCTTAGTTTTTCATGCAATATTCTTTTGAAATACTGTATTGAGAGAAGTGCTTGACTCCAGGTACCATGTTACCAAATGGTCTGTTAGGTGATGTAAGAAATGTACGAAGGCTTATACTCAAGAGAAAGTAGACAAAATTTTGATTACTGTATATACAGCACTCATATAACAAAGAACGAATACAGTATGTACAAAATGTTTCGCTTGATCACTATAGTACATGTAAAGGAAATGTTTTTAAACACAGACTGGTGCAGTTAGCATAACCAATACAATTTTTAAAAGTATTTATCTATTTATACATAACATTGAAATCAAATACTGCATGTACAGTACTTCCATTCATTTAACTAAGTAACTCCACACAAACTTCAAAAACAATTATAGTTCTTACCAGTACATAACTTGAAAGGTGAACATGGAACTTTATGTAAACACCATTATCTAAAATTATACAATTCTTTCACTTAATCTGAATGACCCTTGACAAACTATTACTGACATAAGTTACTATATTCCAACAAATAATACAGGTAACTGTCCTCACTAGAAGAAAATTTACTATGAAACTTACGCTTTATATTGTTATGGAGTTCATTCTTTAACTCTGGTCCTGCTTTAAATAATAGCCTTTCACTGTAGCCATTACGTTCATTAAGAGATTCATTGGTGCTGTGTACAATGCCTTCTGCATTTACACGGGTTATATCACCAGCCCTGAAATGGTATTAAACAAATCAGGATTTTTATGTCAGCATTGGTATATTATATATTTATACTTTAATGTTCAATCATGTGTAGTCTCAGCATCTGTATACATTACTGTATATACAAAAATCAATAAAAATACTGTTATTCTTATACAAACTACAAAAAATCCAGCACTGAATGTAATGAAATGCCTCTTTCTGGTGGGACCTCAGTAGCTCCCCAATGCTATAACCTGGAAATGTCCAAGCTACAAGAGACATCAAGCCTCTTAACAACTCAGGATCAGAATCTGGTCCCTCAAAGAGGCTTGAAGGAGCCTGGAGATCAGAGATTACCACAAAACTAAGAGAATAATCAAACAAAGTTACAGTACTCCAAAACAATGCAATCATTATCCTGGCAAGTATATTGTTATGTTATATATTGTTACCACCAAGACACACACTCACTCACCACCAAAAGGCAGCCCAGGTAAGCTGGGTCCCATCACCAAAAGGTGTTTTCATTGTATTTAATAGTACCCAACCACTTGAGCCAGACAGCAGAGCGTCGGTCTCACTTCATGCGGGTCAGCATTCAATCGCCAACCATCCAAGTGGTTGAACACCATTTCTTTCCCCGTTCTCATCCCAAACTCTTATCTCTTCCCAGTGCCATATATTTGTAATGGCTTGGCACTTTCTTCTGATAGTTTCCCTTCATTCAATGCTGGATTTCTGGTAGGGGTCCACTTAGTAACTCTCTGATGCTACATCACTACACTATCAATATCCGATAAGGTTGTCCCACAAAAAGAACACGAAACATTAAAGATGATAAGGGGTTGACCATAGAGAGAAGGGGACGAGGTTACAGAGTACATAAGAACTCAATATCGGGCATGATGCTCCAATGCTACAGTAATGTGGTGTGGCTGAGCAATATGCAGCAAATCACCAAAAGCCAGCTCCTCTGAAAAAATCACTTTAACCTCTTAACACATACACTCACCATGAATAAAATGGCTATCAAGCCAACGATGCTACAAATCGTGAAGATTGTCAGAAAAACCTAGTAGCACATCTGGAGAGAAGAGACTTTGTGACACTCCACCAACATGGGTTCAGGGATGGCAAATTTTGCCTCACAAGTTTAATAGAATTTTATAACTAGGTGACAAAGATTAAGTAAGACAGTAGTGAGCAGACTGCAGTTTCTGAACTGTTGGAAAATGTTTAACATAGTATCCCATAAAAGGCTGGTGCATATGTTGGAGAAACATGCAAGAGTAACTGGTAGGATATTCCAGTGAATATGGAAGCAGAGAATTAATGTCAGAGGTGAGACCTCAGAATGGCATAAAGTCATCAGCAGAGTCCCATAGAGGTCTGTACTCGGACCCATCCTGTTTCTGATACGTATATGTAAATGATCTTCCAGAGGGTATAGACTCATTCCTATCAATGTTTGCTAATGATGAGAAGGATTAAGACAGAGGAGCCCAGCACAAGGCTTCAAGATGACCTGGACAGACAGAAGGAATGGTCCTTCAGAGTTAACAGAATAGCTGTTAGAGTTTAACCTGAGTAACTGTAAAGTAATGAAGATAGGTGTAGGGAGCAGGAGGCCAAATACAATGTGCTATTTGGGAGATGAAATTCTCCAAGAATCAGTAAATGAAAAAGACCTGGGGGTTGATATCACACCAGACCTGTTACCTGAAGCCCAAATCAACAGGATATCAACAGTGGCATATGCCAGGTTGGTCAACATAAGAACAGAGTTTAGAAACTCATGTAAGCAATCATTCAGAACTTTGTATACTGCATATATATCAGACATGCAGCTTCGGCATGGAGTTCATATCTTGTTAACCACTGTGATGTGCCGAGTTTATTGTGACATTCCCCCTGTGCGCATAAAATCATGTGCTCTGAAAAATGTTTATGATCTCTCCAAAATGATAAATTCCCTTCCCTGAACACATACATGTAAAAAAAAAAACAGCGTTGAATGTAATGATTTTTTTGACTCGCCCATTTTCTGGGCGAGTCCCGGAGGCTCCCCGGACCTATCCATGGCTGATATGGATACCCTAACTATTTTACATCAGTTGATGTGGGTGGAGTTCTAGATCTACCGGGAACCACGAGCCAGAACCTGACCCCCCTCACAGAAGCACGAGCTGCAATGGCCCATAGAAATGCACATGTGATTTGGAGCATTCTATATCTGCCATCGACCGGGACAGGCACCCAGAAAGGCAAGCGCCACAAAACAAACCCCCTATTCTGGTTAACAACGAAAATCGTCAAATGAGCGGACAGAGCTCCCCAAAAGAAAAACTAGCAAACAAGCATGACATCACATGAGCTGTGCTGCATGTCTGCTCAGCTCCCCTCCTCCCCGGGAGGGGGAAGGGGGAGCCCCAGACCCTCGCGCCGACAATCCTCACACCAGTTCTGAGGTTGGATATCAAAAAATGCGAAAAACCTCCAACCGGAGGGAGAGATGGTTGCTGGGGAGCCTCCAGAATTCCCCCAGAAAATGGCGTTTCATTACATTCAACACTAGTTTTCTTGGGGGAGCCCCTACGGCTCCTTGGAGCTACTTCACCAAAGACGAAAACAGAGGGACTCATCCTGGAGGCGGTCAGTGCTCACACCACAACACAAAGTCGAGACAACAGACTTCAACAGCCAACCCAAGGTGACACAGGCCCGACTAGGCCCAGGAACAAACACAAGGGAGCATGCAGCCAGGACCCAGCATGACCGCCAAAACAACCCTATGCCTGAATGTCAGCCCCAGACATGCCACCAAAGATGGCAGCAAGCGCACCAAACCTACAAATGCCAAGGGTACAGGGGAGAGACAGTAGGCCGGTTAGACAGAAGGACCCAGCGGACGACCGGAGAGACCCTAACCCGAGAACAGGGAAGGGAAACCGGAGCAACCCAAATTGCAGCCTGACCACAGAGGCCATGGCGCGCAAAGAACAGCGGAGAGCTGCAATTGGACACAAGAAGAAGCACCCCGACCAACCAATCAAGCAGCAACAACCCCAGGGACCCCTCCGGAACTGAAGGGGCCACAACAAACCAAAGGGAATAGAGAAAAGAGCACCCTACCCCAGAGCAGGACAGCTCAGGAGGAGCATGAGCAGGCTGGGGGTGAACAATGCCCGAGACAACCCGTGAACGGTGCAAAAGGAACAACAAAACCGGAGCAAACCGAAGCGGCTCCGTCAGCGCCGCACGAGACAGGGCAACAGTATGCGGCCAGGAAACAGCCCTGAACCACCACGGGAGAAGGACAAGAACATGACGACAAAGAGCGCAGTACACCTACAAAGAGACAAAGAAAAAGATGGACCGTCGCCGAGACGAAGCATGCAGGTGGGACACATTCAAAAAGCCACCCGATCACCAAACAGAAGGCGAGAGACTCTAGTCCAAAGTACCAGACTAGAACACTCGAGGAGAAGACCGAACCAGCCTCACCACGGACCGGACCGACCATGTAAAAGAGGTGGAGCCACGGGAAAACCCCTGGGTGCGGACACCGAGCAAGCCATGCCGGAACCAAGGCTGTCAAAGAACCAAAAGGAACACCCACCAGGGAGTCAGGAACCCAAACCTGGCGAGCCAGGAAAGAACCAACCCGGCAAAGCAAACACGCCCTGTTCGGGAGCTCGCAAAACTCTGGGTCGAATTTGTCGCCGACCCAACAAGCAGCATGACATAGGCAAAAGCAATGAGTGTCACCCTGAGACAAAGGGACAGAGCAACCCTTCAGGGGGCGTCTGGGTCCAAAAATGCAAAAATGAAAACTCGTTCAATTTCAATCAAACTTTTTTGACAAGTTCTATATGAAAAGTGTTTCATCTGGTCCAAGTTTCAGCATCATAGCATAAATAGGAAAGGAGAAAAAAATATTGAAGTAGTTGTGAAAATTATGCAAAAATGGTAAAAATCGATTATCAATCAAAAGTGTCAACTGAAATCATAGCTACGACTCTTTGCTATCACAAAAGCATATATTAAACAAATATTATAATTAGTTTAATTGGAAAAAATTTTTCAGAAAAAAAAGGATTTTTTTTCTTTTTTTTTCAATATTTTTTTTTTTTTTTTTTTTTCGGGCGATTTGCATCAAACTTACACACCTGACTGTACGTAAGCCTATCTGTGAGGATGCCAATTTTGGAGAAAATTGGTTGATGTCAACCTCAGCCACAGATTTTAGAACCTTAGACTTTATTCATTTCTGTTTTTTTTTCCAATTGACACAAACGTTTACAAAACTGATTCCTTTTTTATTCAATTTACATGAAACTTACACAGTATATGTGGAGGGCATGTCTCTACATTGTGGGGCTTTCATTTTTCTCTAAGTTCATTTATTGATTTTATAATAGCAATAAACATGCCATATTTGCAAAAAAAATTTGGGGAACTTTGAACATTTGTATTAGGAAAACTAAAGATGTTTTGGAAATTCTAAAGCCCCAAATCCTTTATTATATGCTAATGTGTCAGAAAAGTGTCACAGAATAATTATATCTGAAACGTGTGTTCTGAGGTGTGGACTTGAAAATGTGTAAAAAACGTTGGGGGGGAAGAAAAAAAAAAAAAATCCCTTTCTATTTACGCTGCAGTACTGAAACTTGGGACAATTTAAGCACTTTTCATATACAACTAGAAAATTAATATTGGTTGACATTGAACAACTTTCATCTATAATCCTCAGACGCCCCTTAAACTTGCACAATGCGAGAGGGGACTCGGAGGGTCGCATCCATCGGACCCAAGTGCACCCACAGGGTTTCCCAGGGACCCTAGACTGTCTCTGCTATGGGTAAGCCCAGGCAAAGTACTGTTAACCTGCACCCAATGCTACCAAACAAACTGCTAATGCTGAACCCCTGGGACATGTCCACTCACAAGGATGAAGCAGGAGGTACCACCAAACAGTCAAACCCAAATATAACAAAGGAAAAGGAACACCAGGCAGACACCCCCCCCCCCCCATCCACCAGGAACAACAAAAAGAAAAACCTCGCAAGAGGACAGCGTACCCAGAGGAACAGAGCCAGCCGCTGTTATAAGTGAAAAGTAGCCGCACAGTACCCCGTGCCCCTACCCGTGCAAAACTACCACTTACCCCAAAGCAGACAAGGGTGGAACCCCCCCCCAAACACTCGGCACGGTTAATCGCCGAGCAGCAAAAGACCAACAGAAGTACTGTAGACCCAAAGTGACTTGTGGAAGAGAACCCCCAAGCCTCAAGGGCAGTATTTACAGGGCACTCGGGGAAGGTGACCATAAGCACATGCAGCCCAAGTACCTTTGAATATTACTCCCAGCTCGCACGCCACCATAAGAGCAGTACTGAACCAAAGGACAGTACAAAAGATTCTGGAGCTGGAGCTACATGACCATGCCACATTACATCAGCCGAAGAACTGGGGTGTGGATCCCAGGCACAGGGGTCTGGAGCTAGAGCTGCGCAGACATGCGGCAGAGCTCGTGTTACGTCATGCTCATTTGCATGTTTTCACTTGGGGGAGTTCTGTCCACTCATTTGACTATTTTCATCATTTTAACCAGAATAGGGGTTTGTTGGGGGGCGCTTACCTTTCTGAGTGCCTGTCCTGGTCGATGACAGATAAAGAATGCTCCAAATCACGTGCATTTCTATAGGCCATTGCTCCTCGTGTCTTTCTGAGGGGGTCAGGTTCTGGCTCGTGGTTCCCGATAGGACTAGAACTCCACCCACATCAACTGTTGCCAAATTCTACAGAGATACATATCAGCTTGGATAGCTCCGGGGGAGCTGGAGTGTTTTCTGGGGGAGTCGACAGGCTTCCCTAGAAAACTCTGTTTGATCGTAAAATATGTTATACATGTTACATATGAGCCCCATAATTTTGAGTATAGTGATGTTCCACACATTGAACTATATAAATTCCACAAATTACACAATTTTGTATAAAATTACAGCATAAAACCAGAGAAGAAATAAATGAGAAACATCAAAATAATTGTGAAACATTATATTTGCGACAACTGCCACCCCACGGGGTGGCGGGGAAGTGACCTTGAGCACTCCATCGCTCAGTGTCCATAATTTGCTCAACTTCCCCAGCTCCATCACGGCTAAAGTATGTCACATACAATTTTTTTTTTAGTTTCCTGTGATCAGAGACTGCATTTTAACAATATAAGAAGAGAAAATTATTTTTTGGAAAGAATTTATTTTCGGCACACCACAGGTGTGTCGTATTTTAATGCAGAGCAGTGCAGTGGTTAAACTTGATATAAACACTGTATGCAAGCTTACCAGAGGCATATTTTGTTATTGAGAACTTTGTTGACTCTGAATGGAGGTGTTATGTGGTTGGGTGTTGGCTGTGGAGGGAGTGTAGGGGGAGTGCCTGGCTCCAATACTGCCCATGTTGGCAGAGACCACACATCCACTAAACGGGGATTAACTCCAAGAGGTTCCATGCCGTCTCATACCTCAATACCTGAAACTGCCAAGAAAATATTTTTAATTAGCAATTTGATCCTTTTCATGGTTCTTACAAAGAATTTTGTAATTTTAATCTAAAGACAAAGTACGTAAAGACAGAGCACTGAATGTAGTGAAATGACATTTTTCTGGTGGGCCTTAACGCTTAGACCGCGCAATACATATATAGATGATTTGAGTAACATTACCGATACCGTGCAATACATTAATAGCTGTTTTAGTGTCTAGCACTTTCATTTAAATGCTCCGCGTGGGATAGGGGCAGCTATAGTGCAGCCACGACAGATAGTAGGCAGACGCCACCTAGAAAAAAAAATTGTGGCCAACATTCCTGGGTGTGAGAGCCTCGGTACTGAGCGCAGTACTCGGTACTGAGAAAGTCTGCCAAACCCGCAAAGAAATGAGGGAATTGTCCTTAGCCAAATGAAAAGGCCATCCAGGTTAAAGCAGGCTACTACATAATCACTCGAGAAGCAAACGGGGAAAAACATAGCCCCCACACAGAAAATGAAAGCAAGATGCAAGAAGAGGCTTGGCTGGCAAGGAAAAGATGTCCTAATCGCCCAGACCAGACCCAACCAAGTTGAAACACCATATGGGCCCAAAAAGAACTTTCAGCAGCTAACAAGGAACCCGAAACCCACCATCCGATTAAGTAACCAGAACCTCGGCTAGCAGACAACCCGACTGGCTGGATGCCAAAACCAGCCAGTTATTGAAGCTGGCCAAGGAGCTGGTCCCCCAAAGACAAGACAGTACAATCCAAGTAAGACTGAAGGATGTCCTGGGTGCCAGGGAACCACCAAGTGATCAAGTTTCCTAACACAAAACTCTAATGGTTATGATTCAGCCTCGGCTCAGTGAGGTACAATGATAAATATATGAATGGGATTGAGTGGATATAAATGATTCTTGTATATCCACCCAATCCACTCTTTTATATCCACTCTTTTATATTCACCCAATCCCATTCATATATTTATCATTGTACCTCACTTCACTTCACCTCTCTCCTGCCTATATATGTCAAAATTTATGTACTTGTAACCCACCCTTCTGAAGAGGTATTATTAAATACGAAAGTACTTAAGGAAATTCCTGTTTTAATCCTTCCTTCGTGGTCTGACACTGTCATGTCACATACATACATACATACATACATACATACATACATACAATATATATATATATATATATATATATATATATATATATATATATATATATATATATATATATACAGTGGTACCTCGGAATGCGATTGTCCCTGTATGCGAGGTTTTCGGAAGGCGAGGTGTATTTATTCCAAAAATTTGTCTCAGAAGGCGAGGGTTACTTCGGGAGGCGAGTTTGGACGCGAGTTTGTTGATACGCGTACAGCCGACCTAGCGCGTTCGTCGCCCCTCCGCCCCTCAGTTTATTATTGTCTGGCGCTCAGTGACTACCCCCACATCAATTCTTCTCGCGGATTTTCAGTGTTTTGTTGGATTTTTGGTGATTTGTCTATACAATTTGTTATTATATATCTCACCATGGGTCCCAAGAAAGCCAGTGGTAAGGATAAAGGCCAGAAAGCTCCTGTGAGGATGACAATAGAGGAGAAACAAGAGATCATTCGGAAGCATGAGAACGGTACACGTGTTGTTGAACTTTGTAGGCAGTACAACAAAGCCACATCAACAATATGCACTATACTTAAGAAGAAAAATAAGATTATGGGTGCTAAAGTGGCAAAAGGAGTAAGAACATTAACGGCACAAATACTTGAAGAAGTGGAAAAGTTGTTATTAATTTGGATACACGACAAGGAGTTGAGGGGTGATAATGTTTCGGAGGCCATTATTTGTGAGAAAGCCAGGGTGTTGCACGAAGACCTTCTAAAGAATACCCCTGTAACGAGTGATGCAGATAAGAAAGAGTTTAAGGCAAGCAGGGGCTGGTTTGAAAAATTTAGAAAGAGAAGTGGTATCCATAGTGTTACAAGGCATGGGGTTATGTGATGTGATTATGGAAGGGGACTCCCCTTCCAAACAGTAACTCCTCTCCTCCTCCCCCCTCCTCACCATCTTCCATACGCCTACAGCACTCGACAGTAAGGTAAGTAATAACTGGAACACAGTTTTGTAGGTTTATTTAGATGAATTAGGTAAATTAGGTATAAAAATTTAGTTTGATGTGGGGTTTTTGGGGTAGTCAGGAACGGATTAATTCATTTCCCTTTATCTCTTATGGGGAAATTAACTTCGGAATGCGAGTTTTCGGAAGGCGAGGCGTCTCCAGGAACGGATTAAACTCTTATTCTGAGGTATGCCTGTATATATGTCGTACCTAGTAGCCAGAACTCACTTCTCAGCCTACTATGCAAGGCCCGATTTGCCTAATAAGCCAAGTTTTACTGAATTAATATATTTTCTCTAATTTTTTTCTTATGAAATGATAAAGCTACCCATTTCATTATGTATGAGGTCAATTTCTTTTTATTGGAGTTAAAGTTAACATAGATATATGACCGAACCTAACCAACCCTACCTAACCTAACCTAACCTATCTTTATAGGTTAGGTTAGGTAGCCGAAAACGTTAGGTTAGGTTAGGTAGGTTAGGTAGTCGAAAAAACATTAATTCATGAAAACTAGGCTTATTAGGCAAATCGGGCCTTGCATAGTAGGCGTAGGCTGAGAAGTGAGTTCTGGCTACTAGGTACGACATATATATATATATATATATATGTCGTACCTAGTAGCCAGAACTCACTTTTCAGCCTACAATGCAAGGCCCGATTTGCCTAATAAGCCAAGTTTTCATGAAATAATATATTTTCTCTAATTTTTTTCTTATGAAATGATAAAGCAACCCATTTCATTATGTAAGAGGTGAATTTTTTTTTATTGGAGTTAAAATTAACGTAGATATATGACCGAACCTAACCAACCCTACCTAACCTAACCTAACCTATCTTTATAGGTTAGGTTAGGTTAGGTAGCCGAAAAAGTTAGGTTAGGTTAGGTTAGGTAGGTTAGGTAGTCGAAAAGCAATTAATTCATGAAAACTTGGCTTATTAGGCAAATCGGGCCTTGCATAGTAGGCTCAGAAGTGAGTTCTGGCTACTAGGTACGACATATATATATATATATATATATATATATATATATATATATATATATATATATATATATATATATATATATATATATATATATATATATATATATATATGTCGTACCTAATAGCCAGAACGCACTTCTCAGCCTACTATTCAAGGCCCGATTTGCCTAATAAGCCAAGTTTTCATGAATTAATGTTTTTTCGTCTACCTAACCTACCTAACCTAACCTAACCTAGCTTTTTTTGGCTACCTAACCTAACCTTACCTATAAATATAGGTTAGGTTAGGTTAGGTAGGGTTGGTTAGGTTCGGTCATATATCTACGTTAATTTTAACTCCAATAAAAAAAATTGACCTCATACATAGAGAAAAGGGTTGCTTTATCATTTCATAAGAAAAAAATTATAGTAAATATATTAATTCAGGAAAACTTGGCTTATTAGGCAAATCGGGCCTTGAATAGTAGGCTGAGAAGTGAGTTCTGGCTACTAGGTACGACATATATATATATATATATATATATATATATATATATATATATATATATATATATATATATATATATATATATATATATATATATATATAAAATTTTCCCTCAAGATCCCTAATAATCAATACTTAATATAACTTTTTCCATTCAGATTTAGCAATTTTCAATTTTTTAAGCTTGTATCCAGAATACTAGTAACATCACCTAGGCTCAAACCATATTTATGACAATTTAAATGCATCAGAAAAATATTCATGCATTTTAAAGGCCTTTCTGAACTGCCTTGAAGCAATTTTATGTCTTCTGAATATATTTCTAGCCCTTTTTTTTTATCTGCACACTTGTTAATGTTACTGGTCAATCTTGTGTCAAAATTCATGATATTTATGAATAAGTGCACATTGCAGTGTTTCACAGAAAAAAAAAGTGTTCTTGAAAATGGATGAGCCCACACAAAAGCCAACTGCAATAAATGTCAGGATAGAATGTAGAGAAAACAAGAATATAAAAACTCTCAAAGCCCATGCAAGGCAATTCCCACTTACACCCAACAACCCTCTCATATCCAACACATGAATTTTGTAATAGTATATATACATACCAAACATGTTTATACAAGTAATATTATATACTTTACTCTTAACTATGGATGATATATTTATAATTACTATACTGTACTCTGTCAGGTTTTAGCACTGTGATGACCACATAAATAATAATTATACTAAATATTAATATGAATAATAATAATAATATTATAATAATAATAATATTAATATTATATAATATAATATTAATTATTATAATAATATAATATTAATAATATATAATAATAATATATTATATTATAATATAATAATAATAATAATAATAATAATAATAATAATAATAATAAATAAATAAATAAATAATAATAATAAATAACAACAATAGTACTGAAATAATAATAAAAATAAAAATAATATAGCATAAAAACCCACACTTGTGTATTTGTGAAATTTACGTAAGAAATTTACACCAAGTCTTTCACACTCTCCTGCGTGCTTTGTCAGTGTGTGTGATTAGGACGAGACTTACATCTGAACATCTAACTAAAGCCTGCTGTCTGTCGACTTCGTCAGTGTGCTGTCGGTCCCAGAAATCTACGATTAGTCATTGAGATGCAAGTCTCGTCTTAATTACACACTCAGACCTTGACAAAACAATCGGGAGAGTGCGAAAGACTTGGTGCAAATTCCTTACATAAATTTCACAAATACACAAGTGTGGGTTTTTATCCAATATTATTTTTATTTTTATTTCAGTAATAGTGTTGATATTTTATTATTTATTTATTAATACTGTATTATTATTATTAGTATTTATTATTTATTATTATGTCTGTGAGAAGACATTACTATTATTTAATAAAAAATAATAATCTTTATTTTAAGCAATAGTACATACATATATACATAGGATAAAAGAAGAGTGAATGAATTCTGGGCATGGCAGGTACAATGCCTAAAGCTACTAATACACAATGCATTTACATAAACGACATAGGACAAAGTAATTCAGGATACCATTGCTTTTTAGTTAATATCTCTATAACTAATTATTGGGATCGTCTCAAAGCTCTCCAAATGTACTCACTAGAGAGGAGACGAGAAAGATACCAAATAATATACACATGGAAAATACTGGAAGGCCAGGTCCCTAATCCAGTAAAATAACAATGTACTGGAGTGAACGATATGGAAGAAAATACAAAATAGAACCAGTGAAGAGCAGGGGTGCCATAGGCACAATCAGAGAACACTGTATAAACATCAGAGGTCTGCGGCTGTTCAACGTCCTCCCAGCGACTATAAGAAATATTGCCGGAACAACCGTGGACATCTTCAAGAGAAACCTAGACTGTTTTCTAAAAGAAGTTCTGGACCAACAAGGATGTGGTGGGTATGGGGGCCTGCGGGCCTCTCCAAGTGACAGCCTGGTGGACCAAACTCTCACAAGTCAAGCCTGGCCTCCGGCCGGGTTTGGGGAGTAGAGGAACTTCCAGAACCCCATCAATCAGGTACTGTACTGCATTAAGATTCTGGAGTCATTATGCAGATCGATACCTTTTTTCCAATTCATACCATAAAGGTTTCCACTAACATTTATATTTGTTGCTCCACCTTGAATTGACAATTACAGATATATATTATACTAAAGAGCACTAATGTGGATAAGCAGGGAATTATCAGGGGAAGGTGAAAAGCCATTATGACTATACAACACTTTGGATGGGTCAGAATAAGGATTTCAGATGAGACAGGGGAAAGGAATGGTGCCCAACCACTTAGACGGCCGGGGATTGAACACCGACCTGCATGAAGCGAGACCGTCGCTCTACTGTCCAGCCAAAGTGGTTGGGCTGACAATTACAGAGAGGCTTTACGTAAAGACAAGTAACTTTATGTAATTAATTTTTATACTGTTATTTCTGGCATATAATTTCACTATTGTTTATATCCATACCTTGTGTAACATACTCATGAGTCTTTGTTTTTTGTTCGACTGAGACTTCATCAGCCTGCTATCGGTCCCAGAAACCCATATTAAAATTAACCCATGATTAATATTGGTGATATTAACTCTTCCTCATTTATCTACTTTCTGAATTTTTATGAATATATTTTAATTATTTACAAACTTACACTTAGCTGCAGTCAGTTTAAACTCTCTCTACTTTACTCTCTTAGGCAAAATTAAGGAGAATATTTTTTTGTTAATGTATCCAAGTTATTCGATTGACATTGGTCTACTTATTAGTTTTACATATTTGGCTTTTAATTGACAAAGCTGGTAAAATTTAATTGACTCGTAAAATTAAATAATGACCAGGAAAAAAGTTAATGCTTATAAACCATGCTAATCTAAATGATCTAGACTAATCCCGAGCTGTTTAGCGCCAGAGAACGGAAAAACGGTAAAAATTTGCCACACCGTGTCCCTCTTGAGCGATAATCACGCCTCTTGAGGATAATATTAGAGCAATATCGCTAACCATTCACTCTGCCTTCCAGGCGATCAATGAGCGACAATATCCGCCACTGTATGATCTGCTCTCTCCCGCTCTCCGTGGCCATAATACCCCTTCCATGCCCTCTCTTCCACAGACAAACGACCCGCCCTGGCCTTGGGTACGTGCTGTCAAGGACAACCGTGCCGGTTTACGCACCTGTAAGGCCAAAATGGTAATCCGCACTTAGTATTTACAAGGACCATCTGATTACTATTTACAGATGGCGTTCACGTCGCTCGAGGAAAACGGCGCTAAATCCTTATTCTGCTATTTTTTCTGAATTACCTGAATTTTACCTGAATTTTATCTGAATTTTACCTGAATTTACCTGAATTTTACCTGAATTTACCCGAGGTCTACTAACCCTAGTGGCCTCGACGAGGACAGGAAGCCGGCGGCTTGTTGAGTGTCCCCCCCCCCATTTGCCTTGAGGATCTTTTCCAGCTATACTTTAAAATGTAAAAGTTTTTTGGCATTTTCGGATTCGGCGGGTAGGCGGTTCCATGGATTTAAAAACCTGTGGATGAAAAATCATCTCCTGTTCTCAGTCCTACATTGCGGCTTGCTTAAAACCATTGCTTCTTATTTGTGTTACACCCAATCTTTTGAAGAAATTGTCCAGATCAACATCCTCCAACTTATTCAGTATTTAAAAAGTTTCAATGTGATATCCCTGGAAACACAAACCGAAACTGTCTCTATTTTCCGCTTGTTACAACTTGTAATAAAGTTGTTACATCTTGGCTTAACGTGTTTATGACGTATTAGAACGTTGTTACAACTTGCTATATTGGTTGTTATAACTGGTTAGAAGGTGTTAAAACTTGTTCGAAAGTTATATGAAGGTCGTAGTTCGGTGGTGTTTGCAGGCATGGCAAGGCCTGCAAACCAGGCCTTGCCAAGCCTGGTTTGCAGTATTGTTAGCCCTGTGGCTTTCCACTGTTCCTGATAGGTGAGTTGACTTAGCTCTGGAATTATTTCTGTCGCCCGGTGTTGCACTTTCTCCAGAGCAGCTATGTCCTTTTGAAGATGTGGTTTCTATGCTTGGATTCAGTAATCCAAATGGGGGTTATCTTGAAAAGATTTCGGAGCTTAGCGTCCCCGCGGTCCGGTCCTCGACCAGGCCTCCTCTTTGCTACACATCCAAAGGAAGCAGCTCGTAGCAGCTGTCTAACTTTCAGATACCTATTTACTGCTAGGTGGACAGGCGCATCAGGATGAAAGAAACTCTGCCCATTTGTTTTCGCCTCTACCGGGGATCGAGCCCGGAACCTTAGGATTACGAATCGCAAGCGCTGTCCACTCATCTGTCACGCCCGTGTGTATAGAGTGTACCGGTGTACAGAGATTTATACAATTGAATCACTACCTTCTTTTCCTTAAAGTCAAAGGTACGCTTGATTATTTCAAAGGTTTAGTTAGATTTTTTGACTGCTGCTCCTATCATAAAACAATTGTTTTATCCATTCTCATATTTTACCATTAATTCCATGGGCCTGTAGTCTCCTTGCCAGTCTTTCATGGTGCACCTTATCAAAGGGGGGAAGGGAATTATTAGGAGAAAGCGCCAAGCCATTACGACTATATAGCACTTGGAAGGGGTCAGGATAAGGTTTAGGGATGGGCCCGGGAAAGGAACCAATTACAAAGGAGCAAAGGAACCTTGTTGATTTGTGGAACCAATTACCGTGTAACATAATCGAAGTAGGACCTCTTGAATGTTTCAAGCGTAGGTTAGATATATATATGAATGAGATTGGGTGGATATAAATAGGAGCGCCCTCGTGTGGGCCAATAGGCCTTCTGCCGTTACCTTGATTCTTATGTTCTTAAGGAATGGTGCCCCCAACCATTTGGACGGTCAGGGATTGAACGCCGACCTGCATGAAATGACACTGACTTCGCTCTACCGTCTACCCCAAGTTGGTTGGACCTTATCAAACGCTTTAGTAAAATTCATGAATTCTACATCGACCGGAAGTCCCTTGTTTGAGTAGCTGGTTACCGTCTCCAAAAACGTGAGCAGGTATGTTAGGCAGGATTTATTTTTAACAAACTCACGTTGTGTCGATTGTACAAGATTGTTCACTGAAAGATGGTGAATGATTCCCTCTCTTTGGAGGGCATCATGTGCCTTGTTAAGCTGATCGGATGGTAGTTCTCCGCTGGGTAGGGTAGTCCAGGTAGTGAAAGAGTAGGGAAGGTAGTAAAAGAGAGGTGGTGAAGGGTAGGCAAAAGTGCTATCAGGTAGGGATGGGTGAAGGGTAGGAAACTTCGTGAAGAGAAGGAAAGTAGTGAAGGGTAGGAATTCATCATTCGGAATTCGGAATTCATTTGTAGTCAGACTAAATCTGTGCAAACACTCCACGCAAATAAAAGGGCTCCAGTCTTTGGAACTCACTCCCTGATGAATTAAAAAATTGACCCACTCATGCCCTGTTCAAAAGTAAAATAAAAAAGTACCTAATTTCATCCTCATAGTTTCCTATCTTGTGCTTCAAACTCACACTGTATCTTGTTCTACCCACTTCCCAATATCATTACTTAAGACTTATATCCATACCAGTGTAATCACTGCTGTCAACTTATGTTTGTAGTTATTTGTTGATATATAAACCTTGCTACAATATACTCTTTCATCTTACAGCCTACAAGTACTAGGCTTCTCAGACTTCATCTTAGAGTTAATAAAAGACTACCTTCAAGAACGGACTCTTCGGGTAATCCTCAGTGGAGGAAAATTCGAAAGCCATTCAGTTAGTGCCATCGTTCCACAGGGTAGTGTGCTTGGCCCTCTGCTGTGGAATGTCTATTCCAACGTTGATACCTGGTTGATGGGGTTCTGGGAGTTCTTCTACTCCCCAAGCCCGTCCCGAGGCCAGGCTTGACTTGTGAGAGCTTGGTCCACTAGGCTGCTGCTTGGAGCAGCCCGCAGGCCCACATACCCACCACAGCCCGGTTGGTCTGGTACTCCTTGGAGGAATAATGGTTTTACTTCATCTCATTCCTGAAGCTCAACGCTATGCTCATGACTGTACTCTAACCTTCACACACGGAAAGGAAGAAAGGCCAACTGCTGCAACACTCATCAATTACAAACTTTCAGCGATTTCTACCCGGGGTAGGAGATGGAAGATCACATTTGGGCAGATTAAACACAAGCGATGATGATAACTAGACTGCACATAGCAAATCGGACAGGCTTGCAAATAGGTGGCAAAACCCTAGAGTTCACAATTGAAATTGACATTTGGGAATGAAGTTCAACTCTTCAGTGACAATGAAGAGCCACGTGCTTAACCTAGCTCAAAAGGCAGCCAGGAAACTTACAGCTCGACGGCGCATCCCACACCTTCTTGACAGCAAGAGTTGCAAAAATCTTATTTAAAGCACATGTTCGCTCTCATCTACAGTTTGCCCCACTTTTCTGGATCACCTCCCCCCCCCATCATTCGTCAGACTCTTGGACAAAGTGGAGAGAAGTGCAAGATGACTCATTTCTAGTCTTGACCAAGTCTGGTGTGAACTGTCTGAATATCAAAGCCTGCAACACCGTCGTGACGTTGGTGTTGGTGTTGCTACGTGAGCTCAAAACTCACGCGCAGTGATTAGTTTTACAAAATTTATAACAAAACTAATCACTGCGCGTGAGTTTTGAGCTCTAACTCTTGAAGGCCCAACTCCGTGGACAACTAGTAGTTGCCACCCGTAGCACTAGGCTCTCAATCTTCAACAGTCTCAGGCTAAAAGTGTCTTTCTCAAGAACATCAGTCCATCAGCAATCATTCATTCCTAGGCTGACTTGCATATGGAACTTGTTCGCTCCACAGGTTGATACACGGGAGATCAGGTCAACAGATCACATGAAGGCTCTGGCACACAGTTGGCTACAAGCTCATCCTGTTCCTTATATGATTGTTACCTAATGCTGTTAATGAATAAATTTTATTCCTGTTACTGCATATAATAGGCTCGTGAAATATATGGGTTTCTAGGAGTAGGTTTCAACTGAGCTGAAGTAGGATTACAGCTCTTGCTTGCAATTTCACCAGGTTCCTTATATGATAATTCCCTATGTGATAATTAGCTTCAAAGTACAATCTCTTGAAATAAATGAGTCTCTAGGAACAGGCTTCAGATGAACTGAGGTCCCATAACAGCTCTTACTTGCAGTTTCACCAGGTACGTCACCTAATAGCCCTTATCAACCCTAGCCTTAGTTGAAAAAAGAGAGACAGAGAGACAGAAAAAGAGCGAGGGAGACATCTATACCTATGAGATAGAATGTCAGTTGTCTGTCAGTCTGTCCAAAGTTTGAGGTCATAGGTTTCGGGCCAGCCTCACCCTAATTGGCAGGGAACGGGGAACGGTCTGGGGTACGGTACGAATGTAGGCTGTCATGTTCAGGTAGGCCTAAGTTAAATGCTTCAAGAAATATTAGCAATTATAAACACCCCTAGGCCATTTTCATGGAGTTAGTAAAATATGGCGTGTGATTACCGTGGAGTTTAACACCCTGTCTCTGCATTACTTTTTTTTTTTTTTTTTTTTTTTTGAGATATATACAAGAGTTGTTACATTCTTGTAAAGCCACTAGTACGCGTAGCGTTTCGGGCAGGTCCCTGGAATACGATCCCCGCCGCGAAGAATCGTTTTTTCATCCTAGTACACATTTTACTGTTGCGTTAAACAGAGGCTACAGTTAAGGAATTGCGCCCAGTAAATCCTCCCCGGCCAGGATACGAACCCATGACATAGCGCTCGCGGAACGCCAGGCGAGTGTCTTACCACTACACCACTTTATTCAAACTAGACTGCAAGCTCTACTTGATTCATTCGCTGCTAAAAGCATTGAATGCGGTCTTGTTATCTCTATAACTAAATCCAGAGTTCTCCATCCCAAAGAGAAAACTCATGTCCCTATAGCTTTCAAGGTCAACAACCAGAACATTGAAACGTGTGGGCAGCACAAATACCTTGGAGTTGGTATTAACAGTGACATTGTAAATGATCTACACCGTAGGTTAAAAGAAAGACTAAAACCATTGAGAACACTTACTGGTAAGAATATTGGTATCAATATTAAATATGCTAGACTATTCTATATGATGTTTGTTAGATCTCTCGTTGATTATAATGCTCTGCACTTAATTAATTTCCCCTCCTCTGTGTTGGACAAACTTGAAGTAGTACAGAATGAGGCCATGAGGATAATTCTTGGTGCCCCAAGATGC